TCCCGTCCTCTCCTCCTACACCTGTCACACCTGTCACTTGGCCGCCCCTCAACCCGTCTCGAGTCTTAGAATATTTGTTTGGTAAACTCTGAAGAGAGTTTACGTGGGGTATTCTTTTGTCAAATTGCGTGTATATAAATTGAACTTTACCTGGAGCGGGTTTTGAGAGTTGTTCTACTCCCCGTGTGACTTGTGAGAGCTTGGTCCACCAGGCTGTTGGTTGGAGCGGCCCGCAGGCCCACATACCCACCACAGCCCGATTGGTCCGGCACTTCTTGAAGACACTAGTTTTCTCTTGAAGATGTCCACGGTTGTTCCGGCAATATTTCTTATAGTCGCTGGGAGGACGTTGAACAACCGCGGACCTCTGATGTTTATACAGTGTTCTCTGATTGTGCCTATGGCACCTCTGCTCTTCACTAGTTCTATTCTGCATTTTCTTCCATATCGTTCACTCCAGTACGTTGTTATTTTACTGTGTAGATTTGGGACTTGACCCTCCAGTATTTTCCATGTGTATATTATTTGGTATCTCTCTCGTCTCCTTTCTAGAGAGTACACTTGGAGGGCTTTGAGACGAAGTCGTTGTATTGGTGGTGGTGGTGGTGGTTGTGTTGGAGATGGTGGTATTGTTGTTGGTGATTTTGTTGGTGGTAAGGGTAGTGAGGGCTGGGAGTCAGGGGGGGGGGGTTGTCTGGTTGTGTGGGGGGGCGGGGGCTGGGTGGGTAGGTCATATTACAGTGACAATAAACACGTTTGGCACAACCCAGCTCCCTCTTGTTAACTGTGCCCCCCCCACCCCCCCGCCCGACACACCCTCAGCCTCCACCCTCCCCCGTCCACTGATACTGACGCCCACACCCTCCCCCAGACCCCAGGACACCCACACCCTCCCCCGGACCCCAGGACACCCACACCCTCCCCCAGACCCCAGGACACCCACACCCTCCCCCAGACCCCAGGACACCCACACCCTCCCCCAGACCCCAGGACACCCACACCCTCCCCCAGACCCCAGCACGCCCACACCCTCCCCCAGACCCCAGCACGCCCACACCCTCCCCCAGACCCCAGCACGCCCACACCCTCCCCCAGACCCCAGCACGCCCACACCCTCCCCCAGACCCCAGCACGCCCACACCCTCCCCCAGACCCCAGCACGCCCACACCCTCCCCCAGACCCCAGCACGCCCACACCCTCCCCCAGACCCCAGCACGCCCAAAGGGACACCCATTCCCGCCCCCGACTCGTGGATGAAAAGTGATAAGAATCTATGATCTAGGAGTTGATATCACGCCGAACCTGTCTCCTGAAGCCCACAGCGGGAGGATATCATCAGCGGCATATGCAAGGCTGGCTAACATTACAACGGCCTTCAGGAACCTGTGTAAGGCATCCTTCAGAACCTTGTCAAGCACAAGACGAAACTGGAGAAGGTTTAAAGGTATGCCCACCAAACTAGTCCCAGAACGAAGAGGTTTGAGTTACGAGGAAAGGCTACGAGAATTGCACCTCACGTCGTTGGAAGAGAGGAGGAGTAAGGGCAGACATGATCACCACATTCAAAATTCTCATGGGAATTGACAGGGTGAACAAAAACAAACTTTTCAGCACGGGTGGTACGCGAACAAGGGGACACAGGTGGAAACTGAGTACCCAAATGAGCCACAGAGACGTCAGAAAAAACTTTGTCAGTGTCAGAGTAGTTAACAGGTGGAATGCATTAGGCAGTGATGTGGTGGAGGCTGACTCCATACACAGTTTCAAGTGTAGATATGATAGAGCCCAGTAGGCTCAGGAACCTGTACACCAGTTGATTGACAGTTGAGAGGCGGGACCAAAGAGCCAGAGCTCAACCCCCGCAAGCACAACTAGGTGAATACAACAACAAGAAGGTGAGTACACACAGACAGACACCAGGAGGTGAGTCACAGCTTACTCATGAGTGAAGTGGCTGACGACACATGACTCCTCGCTGGGGCCTCGCTACCTGGCGAGTGTACACGCTGCCCTGGAGGGCTCAGCACCTGGGCTCAGCACCTGGGCTCAGCACCTGGGCTCAGCACCTGGGCTCAGCAGCAGGGCTCAGCACCTGGGCTCAGCAGCAGGGCTCAGCAGCTGGGCTCAGCAGCTGGGCTCAGCACCTGGGCTCAGCAGCAGGGCTCAGCAGCTGGGCTCAGCACCTGGGCTCAGCACCTGGGCTCAGCAGCAGGGCTCAGCAGCTGGGCTCAGCAGGCTGGGATTGTAGTGCTGGGGGTGAGGGACAGGAGCTCCCACATTGTTAGTCTTCCTGACACCCTGATGTGTCACTGTCATGGTGACCAAGGGGCCCTCTGCTGCCACCTCTACTGTCATGGTGTCCAAGGGGCCCTCTGCTGCCACCTCTGTCATGGTGACCAAGGGGCCCTCTGCTGCCACCTCTACTGTCATGGTGACCAAGGGGCCCTCTGCTGCCACCTCTACTGTCATGGTGACCAAGGGGCCCTCTGCTGCCACCTCTACTGTCATGGTGACCAAGGGGCCCTCTGCTGCCACCTCTGTCATGGTGACCAAGGGGCCCTCTGCTGCCACCTCTACTGTCATGGTGTCCAAGGGGCCCTCTGCTGCCACCTCTGTCATGGTGACCAAGGGGCCCTCTGCTGCCACCTCTACTGTCATGGTGTCCAAGGGGCCCTCTGCTGCCACCTCTACTGTCATGGTGATCAAGGGGGCCCTCTGCTGCCACCTCTACTGTCATGGTGACCAAGGGGCCCTCTGCTGCCACCTCTACTATCATGGTGACCAAGGGGCCCTCTGCTGCCACCTCTACTGTCATGGTGACCAAGGGGCCCTCTGCTGCCACCACTCCCTGGGCCACTGTGTCCACTCCCTGGGCCACAGTGGCCACTCCCTGGGCCACAGTGGCCACTCCCTGGGCCACAGTGGCCACTCCCTGGGGCCACAGTGACCACTCCCCGGGCCACAGTGGCCACTCCCTGGGCCACAGTGACCACTCCCTGGGCCACAGTGGCCACTCCCCGGGCCACAGTGACCACTCCCCGGGCCACAGTGGCCACTCCCCGGGCCACAGTGGCCACTCCCTGGGCCACAGTGGCCACTCCCCGGGCCACAGTGACCACTCCCCGGGCCACAGTGACCACTCCCCGGGCCACAGTGGCCACTCCCTGGGCCACAGTGGCCACTCCCCGGGCCACAGTGGCCACTCCCCGGGCCACAGTGACCACTCCCTGGGCCACAGTGACCACTCCCCGGGCCACAGTGGCCACTCCCTGGGCCACAGTGGCCACTCCCTGGGGCCACAGTGGCCACTCCCTGGGGCCACAGTGGCCACTCCCTGGGGCCACAGTGGCCACTCCCTGGGGCCACAGTGGCCACTCCCTGGGGCCACAGTGGCCACTCCCTGGGGCCACAGTGGCCACTCCCTGGGCCACAGTGGCCCCTCCTTGGGCCACAGTGGCCAGAAGTGACGTTAATTCGACGCATAAACAACGCCATTTCAATGTTTAATCAATGTTGAATTGCCGTTGTTGTCTATTGTGGCCCCTGAGAAAGGCAAAGGATTAATGTTAGTAACTGGTTCCAGTTACACACACTTCCGGTCTTTGTATTAGTCCTCTTGACGGTAGTTTCAACTGGGAAGAGTCTTTCCAGTTTATCCCTCGACCGTCTAAGTGGTTGGGCACCATTCCTTTCCGGATGAGGCGGTAAGGATGGGCCGGAACGGTTTCCACCGTCCCCGGAATACGTCCCGCCAAATTGTTTAACAATCGGGTACACATTCCCTGCAGGGTGAACAGTGGCGTACAGTTAAGGACAGGCGCCCAGTCAATCCTCCCCGGCCAGGATACGAACCCACTGTATCTTGAGGTTATCTTGAGATGATTTCGGGGCTTTCTAGTGTCCCCGCGGCCCGGTCCTCGACCAGGCCTCCACCCCCAGGAAGCAGCCCGTGACAGCTGACTAACTCCCAGGTACCCTGTAGCCCAAATCACTCGCGGGACGAGTGTGTTACCTGCGCCAACTATGTAACTACCTCGTCAAGGATGTAACTTGTTAACCTAAATGAATTTTGAAGTTCAGTTCCTAAACCCATTATGTGCCTCTGTCCTTTCCTACTACAGCTCACAGGATGGGTATGGGGTCCACTACCCCCCTCATGATGGGTATGGGGTCCACTACCCCCCTCATGATGGGTATGGGGTCCACTATCCCCCTCATGATGGGTATGGGGTCCACTATCCCCCTCATGATGGGTATGGGGTCCACTATCCCCCTCATGATGGGTATGGGGTCCACTATCCCCCTCATGATGGGTATGGGGTCCACTATCCCCCTCATGATGGGTATGGGGTCCACTATCCCCCTCATGATGGGTATGGGGTCCACTATCCCCCTCATGATGGGTATGGGGTCCACTATCCCCCTCATGATGGGTATGGGGTCCACTATCCCCCTCATGATGGGTATGGGGTCCACTATCCCCCTCATGATGGGTATGGGGTCCACTATCCCCCTCATGATGGGTATGGGGTCCACTATCCCCCTCATGATGGGTATGGGGTCCACTATCCCCCTCATGATGGGTATGGGGTCCACTATCCCCCTCATGATGGGTATGGGGTCCACTATCCCCCTCATGATGGGTATGGGGTCCACTATCCCCCTCATGATGGGTATGGGGTCCACTATCCCCCTCATGATGGGTATGGGGTCCACTATCCCCCTCATGATGGGTATGGGGTCCACTATCCCCCTCATGATGGGTATGGGGTCCACTATCCCCCTCATGATGGGTATGGGGTCCACTATCCCCCTCATGATGGGTATGGGGTCCACTATCCCCCTCATGATGGGTATGGGGTCCACTATCCCCCTCATGATGGGTATGGGGTCCACTATCCCCCTCATGATGGGTATGGGGTCCACTATCCTCCTCATGATGGGTATGGGGTCCACTATCCCCCTCATGATGGGTATGGGGTTCGTTATCGCTCACAGGATGGGTATCGGGTCCATAAGGAATGACATAAACTCATTGTCTCCGTCAAAGGGTTGGCTGATGTCCCTATACCGTCGCCGCCTCTGTCAAGAGGTCGCCAGACGTCCCACACCGTCGCCACCTCCGTCAAGAGGTCGGCGGACGTCCCACACCGTCGCCACCTCCGTCAAGAGGTCGGCGGACGTCCCACACCGTCGCCGCCTCCGTCAAGAGGTCGGCGGACGTCCCACACCGTCGCCGCCTCCGTCAAGAGGTCGGCGGACGTCCCACACCGTCGCCGCCTCCGTCAAGAGGTCGGCGGACGTCCCACACCGTCGCCGCCTTCGTCAAGAGGTCGGCGGACGTCCCACACCGTCGCCGCCTCCGTCAAGAGGTCGGCGGACGTCCCACACCGTCGCCGCCTCCGTCAAGAGGTCGGCGGACGTCCCACGGCGCCTCCGTCAAGAGGTTGGAGTGGGAGGGAGTGGGGCTTGACAGTAACAGTGCTCCATTAGTAGCACCTTCCCGCCCGCCCCTCCCCGCCCCGCCACACCCCGCCCCGCCACACCCCGCCCCTCCCCGCCCCTCCCCGCCCCTCCCCGCCCCTCCCCGCCCCTCCCCGCCCCTCCCCGCCCCGCCCCGCCCCGCCCCGCGCTTCCTTACACCTTTGTTTCGGTACTGTCCGGTTATTATGCTTGTAAGTGCTGCGTAGATGTGGTGCACTGTACCCTATAGTGACTGTGGTGCACTGTACCCTATAGTGACTGTGGTGCTGTGTACCCTATAGTGACTGTGGTGCAGTGTACCCTATAGTGACTGTGGTGCACTGTACCCTATAGTGACTGTGGTGCACTGTACCCTATAGTGACTGTGGTGCAGTGTACCCTATAGTGACTGTGGTGCAGTGTACCCTATAGTGACTGTGGTGCAGTGTACCCTATAGTGACTGTGGTGCAGTGTACCCTATAGTGACTGTGGTGCAGTGTACCCTATAGTGACTGTGGTGCAGTGTACCCTATAGTGACTGTGGTGCAGTGTACCCTATAGTGACTGTGGTGCAGTGTACTCTATAGTGACTGTGGTGCAATGTACCCTATAGTGACTGTGGTGCAATGTACCCTATAGTGACTGTGGTGCAGTGTACCCTATAGTGACTGTGGTGCAGTGTACCCTATAGTGACTGTGGTGCAGTGTACCCTATAGTGACTGTGGTGCACTGTACCCTATAGTGACTGTGGTGCACTGTACCCTATAGTGACTGTGGTGCAGTGTACCCTATAGTGACTGTGGTGCAGTGTACCCTATAGTGACTGTGGTGCAGTGTACCCTATAGTGACTGTGGTGCAGTGTACCCTATAGTGACTGTGGTGCAGTGTACTCTATAGTGACTGTGGTGCAATGTACCCTATAGTGACTGTGGTGCAATGTACCCTATAGTGACTGTGGTGCAGTGTACCCTATAGTGACTGTGGTGCAGTGTACCCTATAGTGACTGTGGTGCAGTGTACTCTATAGTGACTGTGGTGCAATGTACCCTATAGTGACTGTGGTGCAATGTACCCTATAGTGACTGTGGTGCTGTGTACCCTATAGTGACTGTGGTGCAGTGTACCCTATAGTGACTGTGGTGCAGTGTACCCTATAGTGACTGTGGTGCAGTGTACCCTATAGTGACTGTGGTGCACTGTACCCTATAGTGACTGTGGTGCAGTGCTCACCAAATTCACAATTACGGGGGTTGAGCTCTGGCTCTTTGGTCCCGCCTCTCAACTGTCAATCAACTGGTGTACAGGTTCCTGAGCCTACTGGACTCTATCATATCTACATTTGAAACTGTGTATGGAGTCAGCCTCCACCACATCACTGCCTAATGCATTCCACCTGTTAACTACTCTGACACTGAAAAAGTTCCTTCTAACGTCTCTGTGGCTCATGTGGGTACTCAGTTTCCACCCGTGTCCCCTTGTTCGCATCACCTGTGTAAAATAAACTGTCTTTATCTACCTCATCACGTGCCTAACTACTTGAGCTGGACGGTAGAGCGACGGTCTCACTTCATGCAGGTCGGCGTTCAATCCCCGACTGTGGGAATCTGTGGGCTCGTATTCTTTATAGGTTTAAAGGCTCGTGTGGGGTTATTTCTCATCCCGGGGCATGACAGTTCTATACTAAGTCAACAGTGGGCCAGGTGTCAGATTCACGAAGCAGTTACGCAAGCACTTACGAACGTGTACATCTTTCCTCAATCTTTGACGGCTTTGGTTACATTTATTAAACAGTTTACAAGCATGAAAACTTGCCAATCAACTGTTGTTATTGTTATAAACAGCCTCCTGGTGCTTCGGAGCTCATTAACTCTTTAATAATTGTAAACAAAGCCGCCAAAGATTGAGAAAAGATGTACAGGTTCGTAAGTGCTTGCGTAACTGCTTCGTGAATCTGGCCCCAGGATGAACCCTCCCCCCCTCCCCTAGGGGGGCCACGCTCACTAGCCTCCTATAGGTCCCCAACGTCAAGAAACTAACGTACTAAAGTTGTGGGGAATTTTCCCAACAGGAAAATTTATTAATTTAGTTATAACTTAATTATATTAATTGGATTGTATTAAAAGGGGCGGATTGTATTATTTAATTTTAACTTCTGCTTGGTGTAAGCTCATCATGTATTTTTGTTGGTGGGGGTTAATTAATAGTATTTTAATTATTAGTTATATGTCAATAAGAAATGTTATGGGGTTAATCACTAACTGCTGAAACTATCTTGAGGTTATCTTGAGATGATTTCGGGGCTTTTTAGTGTCCCCGCGGCCCGGTCCTCGACCAGGCCTCCACCCCCAGGAAGCAGCCCGTGACAGCTGACTAACACCCAGGTACCTATTTTAGTGATAGTGAGGACGTCAGGAGAGGCTGCCCGCCCGCCCTGACGTCACACAGAAACATCATATTCAACAACTTACACAATCATTGCACAAGCGGCTCGACCAAACAGGTCTACGCCGGTCTAAAGTAAACTGACATTTTTGGGGCATTGAACATAATATTTCACTTGCAGTTTGCATGTTAATATACATTGGTAAAGCCATATGGAAAGTTTACCACTAGAGCTGCGGGAGTTTACCACTAGAGCTGCGGGAGTTTACCACTAGAGCTGCGGGAGTTTACAATTAGAGCTGCGGGAGTTTACAATTAGAGCTGCGGGAGTTTTTAATTAGAGCTGCGGGAGTTTACAATTAGAGCTGCGGGAGTTTACAACTAGAGCTGCAGGAGTTTATAATTAGAGCTGTGGGAGTTTACAATTAGAGCTGCGGGAGTTTTTAATTAGAGCTGCGGGAGTTTACAATTAGAGCTGCGGGAGTTTTTAATTAGAGCTGCGGGAGTTTACAATTAGAACTGCGGGAGTTTACAACTAGAGCTGCAGGAGTTTATAATTAGAGCTGTGGGAGTTTACAACTAGAGCTGCGGGAGTTTACAACTAGAGCTGTGGGAGTTTACAATTAGAAGTGCGAGAGTTTACAACTAGAGCTGCGGGAGTTTACAACTAGAGCTGCGGGAGTTTACAACTAGAGCTGCGGGAGTTTACAACTAGAGCTGCGGGAGTTTACCACTAGAGCTGTGGGAGTTTACAATTAGAAGTGCGAGAGTTTACAACTAGAGCTGCGGTAGTTTACAACTAGAGCTGCGGGAGTTTACAACTAGAGCTGCGGGAGTTTACAACTAGAGCTGCGGGAGTTTACAACTAGAGCTGCGGGAGTTTACAATTAGAAGTGCGGGAGTTTACAATTAGAGCTGTGGGCGTTTACAACTAGAGCTGCGGGAGTTTACAATTTGATCTGCGTGAGTTTACAATTAGAGCTGTGGGAGTTTACAATTAGAGCTGCGGGAGTTTGCGATTAGAACTGCGGGAGTTTACCACTAGAGCTGCGGGAGTTTACCACTAGAGCTGCGGGAGTTTACCACTAGAGCTGCGGGAGTTTACTACTAGAGCTGCGGGAGTTTACTACTAGAGCTCCGGGAGTTTACCACTAGAGCTGCGGGAGTTTACTACAAGAGCTGCGGGAGTTTACTACTAGAGCTGCGGGAGTTTACTACTAGAGCTGCGGGAGTTTACTACTAGAGCTCCGGGAGTTTACTACTAGAGCTGCGAGAGTTTACTACTAGAGCTGCGGGAGTTTACTATCAGAGCTGCGGGAGTTTACAATTAGAGCTGCGGGAGTTTACAATTAGAGCTGCGGGAGTTTACAATTAGAGCTTCCCTCATGTTGATGATTCTTGTGCATCTTGGGGCACCAAGAATTATCCTCATGGCCTCGTTTTGTACTACTTCAAGTTTGTCCAACACAGAGGAGGGAGAAATTAATTAAGTGCAGAGCATTATAATCAACGAGAGATCTAACAAACATCATATAGAATAGTCTAGCATATTTAATATTGATACCAATATTCTTACCAGTAAGTGTTCTCAATGGTTTTAGTCTTTCTCTTAACCTATGATCTAAACTCCAAGGTATTTGTGCTGCCCACACGTCTCAATGTTCTGGCTGTTGACCTTGAAAGTTATAGGGACACGAGTTATATCTTGGGGATGGAGAACTCTGGATTTAGTTATAGAGATAACATGACCACTTTCAATGGTTTTTAGAAGCGAGTGAATCCAGTAGAGCTTGCAGTCTTGTTTGGGTATTTGCAACAATGCATATTAAATTAAATTTAAATTTTGCCCCGAGGTGCGAGTTTATTGGGCAGCGCCACTCATCCTGTGAGTGGACACGCCGCCATAGTGACAGTATTGGGCAGTGTCACTCATCCTGTGAGTGGATACACCGCCATAGTGACAGTATTGGGCAGCGCCACTCATCCTGTGAGTGGATACACCGCCATAGTGACAGTATTGGGCAGCGCCACTCATCCTGTGAGTGGACACGCCGCCATAGTGACAGTATTGGGCAGTGTCACTCATCCTGTGAGTGGACACACCGCCATAGTGACAGTATTGGGCAGTGTCACTCATCCTGTGAGTGGACACACCGCCATAGTGACTGTATTGGGCAGTGTCACTCATCCTGTGAGTGGACACACCGCCATAGTGACAGTATTGGGCAGTGTCACTCATCCTGTGAGTGGACACACCGCCATAGTGACAGTATTGGGCAGCGCCACTCATCCTGTGAGTGGACACACCACCATAGTGACAGTATTGGGCAGCGTCACTCATCCTGTGAGTGGACACACCGCCATAGCAGCATGTACAACACTCCCCAATAGGAAGAAAACCCGCTGGGTTGTTCATCCTGTCACTTGTACCCAGACACAGCTGGGCATCGGCATAACAGATGACGGCTTCGTCAGGTAGTGTGGGAATATCAATTGTTAATTTGTGCATCAGAACATTGAACAGTGTAGGACTTTAACCAGTACTTAAACTTTCGAAAGTAAAGCCGAAAGTTTAAGTACCGGTTAAATAACACACACGGTGTATAATCCCACTCCTTCAGAGCCTCTTGAGTCGAACGCCGGAACATATAAGAAGCCTTCATGGCGACGCTGCACACTTCTCAAGGCGTCTGGCGTCTTGCAGATGTTGCAAATGTCGTCTGTGCCTCCCCAAGGGGGGGAGGGGAGAAGGGGTACTCATCAGGGATATCGAGTCTACCTCTGTGACGGTTTAGTCTCCTGCTCCGGCCTGAGTCACGCTTGAAGGTCAGCATTAGCGGTGTGTGGCGAGGCTTGTGCTGTGCTCAGGTATACAGTCGGCTTTGTTGTGTAAACTTTCCCAGGCCACTCGGTCCACCTCCACACTCTGTCCTAACAGCAGACATCTAGCTGGCTCCCCTGTTGGTGGACATCAAGCTGGCTCCCCTGTTGGTAGACGTCTAGCTGGCTCCCCTGTTGGTGGACGTCTAGCTGGCTCCCCTGTTGGTGGACATCCAGCTGGCTCCCCTGTTGGTGGACGTCTAGCTGGCTCCCCTGTTGGTGGACATCCAGCTGGCTCCCCTGTTGGTGGACGTCTAGCTGGCTCCCCTGTTGGTGGACATTTAGCTGGCTCCCCTGTTGGTGGACATCTAGCTGGCTCCCCTGTTGGTGGACATCTAGCTGGCTCCCCTGTTGGTGGACATCTAGCTGGCTCCCCTGTTGGTGGACGTCTAGCTGGCTCCCCTGTTGGTGGACGTCTAGCTGGCTCCCCTGTTGGTGGACGTCTAGCTGGCTCCCCTGTTGGTGGACGTCTAGCTGGCTCCCCTGTTGGTGGACGTCTAGCTGGCTCCCCTGTTGGTGGACGTCTAGCTGGCTCCCCTGTTGGTGGACGTCTAGCTGGCTCCCCTGTTGGTGGACGTCTAGCTGGCTCCCCTGTTGGTGGACGTCTAGCTGGCTCCCCTGTTGGTGGACGTCTAGCTGGCTCCCCTGTTGGTGGACGTCTAGCTGGCTCCCCTGTTGGTGGACATTTAGCTGGCTCCCCTGTTGGTGGACGTCCAGCTGGCTCCCCTGTTGGTGGACATCTAGCTGGTTCCCCTGTTGGTGGACATCTAGCTGGCTCCCCTGTTGGTGGACATCAAGCTGGCTCCCCTGTTGGTGGACATCTAGCTGGCTCCCCTGTTGGTGGACATCTAGCTGGCTCCCCTGTTGGTGGACATTTAGCTGGCTCCCCTGTTGGTGGACATCTAGCTGGCTCCCCTGTTGGTGGACATCTAGCTGGCTCCCCTGTTGGTGGACATCTAGCTGGCTCCCCTGTTGGTGGACATCTAGCTGGCTCCCCTGTTGGTGGACATCTAGCTGGCTCCCCTGTTGGTAGTCATCTATGCTTTCTGGTGAGAGCCACATGTGTGGGCCACCCGGGGCGAGAGCCACATGTGTGGACCGTCCAACACTGTCAGGTACTCAATGATGATTACTCGTACCAAGCTGGCCATAATTACCACACACCTGGCTCGCCCACCACACCCACTATGACGACATGTGTCACACACCTGACAAACTCATGATCTACCACACCCAGTGTGACCACAGGTGTCAACAGTGTCACACACACCTGTCACCTCTGTCACTCTGGTCTGGGGCCTGTGTCACACTGGGGAAAGAGGAGGAGCAGGTTTACCAAGCAAGCAACAACAGTTTACCTTAACACATAAGAAGACTTTACAATGTTTGTTGAGTTCTCGCGTATCTTTGTGGTGTTCGTGTGTTTGGATGGTGTTAATATGGGCGTCGTGGGTGAGGGGAACACTTGTCCACCTTGTCCCTTCTCCTCAGTATCTTGTATGTTGTTATCATAGCCCCTCTGGTTCTTCTCCAGGTCCTTTAACTTCTCTCCATAGCTCATCCCCCTCTTAGCTCTGGCAGCAGTCATCTTACACAATTTTCCACTGTTTCAATTTTGGTTTCAAGCTTCTCAAGGTGGGCATTCCAGGTCGGTCTGGGTACTTTGAGTGGCAGTTTGATGGTACGAGTTATTAGTGGGTGTAAGTGTACTGGTAGTACCTGGTTGATGGGGTTCTGGGAGTTGTTCTACTCCCCAAGCCCGGCCCGAGGCCAGGCTTGACTTGTGAGAGTTTGGTCCACCAGGCTGTTGGTTGATACCTGGTTGATGGGGTTCTGGGAGTTGTTCTACTCCCCAAGCCCGGCCCGAGGCCAGGCTTGACTTGTGAGAGTTTGGTCCACCAGGCTGTTGGTTGATACCTGGTTGATGGGGTTCTGGGAGTTCTTCTACTCCCCAAGCCCGGCCCGAGGCCAGGCTTGACTTGTGAGAGTTTGGTCCACCAGGCTGTTGCTTGGAGCAGCCCGCAGGCCCACATATCCACCACAGCCCGGTTGATCCGGCACTCCTTGGAGGAATAAATCTAGTTTTCTCTAAGATGTCCACGGTTGTTCCGGCAATATTTCTTATAGTCGCTGGGAGGACGTTGAACAACCGCGGACCTCTGATGTTTATACAGTGTTCTCTGATTGTGCCTATGGCACCTCTGCTCTTCACTGGTTCTATTCTGCATTTTCTTCCATATCGTTCACTCCAGTATGTTGTTATTTTACTGTGCAAATTTGGGACCTGGCCCTCCAGTATTTTCCATGTGTATATTATTGGTATCTCTCTCTCGTCTCCTTTCTAGCGAGTACATTTGGAGAGCTTTGAGACGATCCCAATAATTTAGGTGCTTTATCTCGTCTATGCGTGCCGTATATGTTCTCTGTATTCCCTCTATTTCAGCAATCTCTCCTGCTCTGAAGGGGGAAGTGAGTACTGAGCAGTACTCAAGACAGGACAACACAAGTGACTTGAAGAGTACAACCATTGTGACGGGATCCCTGGATTTGAAAGTTCTCGTAATCCATCCGATCATTTTCCTGGTTGACGCAATATTTGCTTGGTTATGCTCCCTAAACGTTAGGTCGTCACACATCATTATTCCCAAATCCTTTACATGTTGCTTTCCTACTATGGGCAGATTTGATTGTGTTTTGTACCCTGTATTATGTTTAAGGTCCTCATTTTTACCGTACCTGAGTACCTGGAATTTATCACTGTTAAACATCATGTTATTGTCTGCTGCCCAGTCGAAAACTTTATTAATATCTGCTTGTAGTTTTTCAATGTCTTCAACAGAGGAAATTTTCATGCTGATTTTTGTGTCATCTGCAAAGGATGACACGAAGCTGTGACTTGTATTTGTAGTAGTGGTAGGAGTGGTTGTAGGAGTGTGTGAGTGTGGGTGTAAGTGTACTTACACCCACACTCAGCTCTCCAAGGGGCAGTTGTACTGGCCATATCCTTTGCAGCTGGTGCGAAGTTTCCCCTCATACCCCTCCCTCACACACCCCTCCCTCACACACCCCTCCCTCACACACCCCTCCCTTACACACCCCTCCCTCACACACCCCTCCCTCACACACCCCTCCCTCACACACCCCTCCCCCCACACACCCCTCCCCCCACACACCCCTACCCCCACACACCCCTCCCCCCACACACCCCTCCCCCCACACACCCCTACCCCCACACACCCCTCCCCCCACACACTCCTCCCCCCACACACCCCTACCCCCACACACCCCTCCCCCCACACACCCCTCCCCCCACACACCCCTCCCCCCACACACCCCTCCCCCCACACACCCCTCCCCCCACACACCCCTCCCCCCACACACCCCTCCCTCACACCCCTCCCTCACACCCCTCCCTCACACCCCTCCCACACACCCCTCCCCCACACCCCTCCCCCACACCCCTCCCCACACACCCATCCCCCCACACCCCTCCCCCACACCCCTCCCCCACACCCCCTCCCCCACACCCCCTCCCCCACACCCCCTCCCTCACACCCCTCTCTCACACCCCTCCCTCACACCCCTCCCTCACACCCCTCCCTCACACCCCTCCCTCACACCCCTCCCTCACACCCCTCCCTCACACCCCTCCCCCCACACCCCTCCCTCACACCCCTCCCTCACACCCCTCCCCCCACACCCCTCCCTCACACCCCTCCCTCACACCCCTCCCCCCAAATCCCTCTTCCCACACCCCTCCCTCACACCCCTCCCTCCCTCACACCCCTCCCTCACACCCCTCCCTCACACCCCTCCCCCCACACCCCTCCCTCACACCCCTCCCTCACACCCCTCCCCCCAAATCCCTCTTCCCACACCCCTCCCTCACACCCCTCCCCCCACCCCCACACCCCTCCCTCACACCCCTCCCTCACACCCCTCCCTCTACACCCCTCCCTCTCACCCCCTCCCTCTCACCCCCTCCCTCTCACCCCCTCCCTCTCACCCCCTCCCTCTCACCCCCTCCCTCACACCCCCTCCCTCACACCTCTCCCCCACACCCCTCCCCCACACCCCTCCCCCACACCCGTCCCTCACACCCCTCCCTCACACCCCTCCCTCACACCCCTCCCTCACACCCCTCCCTCACACCCCTCCCCCACACCCCTCCCTCACACCCCTCCCCCACACCCCTCCCCCACACCCCTCCCTCACACCCCCTCCCTCTCACCCCCTCCCCCACACCCCTCTCCCGAGGGACAAGCCTCCGAAGGGTTCAGGAAACTGTACACCAGTTAATTGACAGTTGGGAGGCGGGACCAAAGAGCCAAAGCTCAACCCCCGCAAAACAGAACTAGATGAGTACCACCCAGTCACTTGGGCTGTACGAGATTCGAACCGCGGCCCCCAAGCGTGTAAGGCCGAAGCATGTTAAGTGAGTACACACTGCACACTTACCGGGACACATGATACTGTCCAAGACAAGAGACTCTTGCTCAAGCAGGAGACGCTGAAGGGGGTGAAGGAGCCACTCTCAGGAGGGAAACAAAGGGCCGTAGTGAGAGGCTTGAGATCTTAGTGAAGAGAGGTAAGGGGTGGAATACCACAAGTGTGGGTACTGGGGCCCATCCTGCTCCTGGCATGTGTTGACAAATGAAGCTGAGACAGACAGACAGACAGACAGACAGACAGACAGACAGACAGACAGACAGACAGACAGACGAGAAGATTTAGAACAAAATCGCAATGCAGGATCATGCGAGCAGACCCTAAACACTTCAGCAATGATGGCAGACTCGGGGCCAGATTCACGAAGCAGTTCCGCAAGCACTTACGAAGCCTGTACATCTTTTCTCAATCTTCGGCGACTTTGTTTCCAATTATTTAACAGTTAATGAGCCCCGAAGCACCAGGAGGCTGTTTATAACAATAACAACAGTTGATTGCCAAGTTTTCATGCTTGTAAACTGTTTAATAAATGTAACCAAAGCCGTCAAAGATTGAGGAAAGATGTACACGTTCGTAAGTGCTTGCGTAACTGCTTCGTGAGTCTAGCCTCTGATAAAAACATATGAGCTAGCCAAATAGTTATTCGTATGACAACAAATAGAACAATATATAATGCAAGGAAGAGAACTTCTTGCATGAGAACAGGAGGAAAGAACAGGGAACAGAAGAACGTGAGACAAACTGCTTAATGCCCGCGTAGTCTGAATAAGTCTTTCTTCAGAATAATTCTGAATAAAGTAGGCTTGTGGATCTTGTATATAACCTGCATTAGACCCACTCCTGAATATACAGTCCCGGCCTGGACCCCTCATATGAAGAAAACCCTTGACAAAACTTGGACAGGTCTCCAAATATTCAGCAAGGCTGGTTTCCAGAGTGAAGGGGACTGAGCTATGAAGTATGATTGAGAACTGGAAATCGTCATAGTGGCCTACTAAGGAATAGGGAACATGTCCTCGGCATACAAGATACTGCGAAGAGTTAACCAAATGCGCAGAGGAGCAGTGTCCACAGCGAGATGGAGCAGAGCGCGGGAACATAGATGGAAACAAATGAGTGAGTGAGTGAGTATGATAACTCAGTGTTGGATAAATATGACAAAACGCGAGTGAATAGTTATTTCCTAAACCTTCAGGAGAGCAAGAGTGCACTCTAGTGACGACCAAGAACCTCGTACTACCAATTATAAATGACCTAATTGCTGCACAGAGTAAAGGGTTTCGAATCTCCTTTGTATGGATACCTTCACACATAAATATAACCCATCATAATGAGACAGACATTGGAGCCAAATTAGCGTGTAACAAAGATGAAGTTGAATTAGATCTAGGTATCCCCATCTCTGCTGTTAGAACTGTATTGTTCCAAACACTCAGGTCTGATAGGAGAGAAATTACTGACTCCCAACGACCTGAAAGTACTAGTATAAAAAGCTATGATTTGTTCAGATCTGAAACCTATGTTTATGGGCAGCACAAAACGTCGACCAGACTGTGCGACACAGTGGTTGCCAGGATCAGGTTGGGTTACCGTTACCTGT